CGTGTGTGAAGTCCTGGGAGTAGGAGAAATTAATAGTTGCAAATGTTTTAGTGAACACGTGATCCCCTAGGTATTTAAATGTCAAGGGTATGGAGAGGGTTGGCCATGGATTTCAGAGGTAAGCAAGGGGTTTAATCATGAAGTGCTCTGTGTACACTGATGAAGGGTCTATACTTTAGGGTCCATGGGGAGTCCTTGAAGGACTGCAGGCAGGAAAGTGTTAGGAATCACATTTCTGTTTTAGAATGAGTATTGGACATCAGTGTCAAAGCTTAAATAGAATATAGGAGGTTCGGCAATTACTACGGTAATCGACTTGAGCAATGAGGAAGTTCTGAAATCATATGTGTATAGAGGAAGTGGACATATTCCAAAAATATTAAGGAGGAAAAATAAGGAGTAAGGAAGACTTCATGATGGGCTTGGGTGAAAGACAAGAGTGTTTAGACCAGTGCTCTTTACAGTGAGGTCCGAGTATTCCCAGGCTTATATGAAGCTTTCCAAGGAGTACCTAGGAACAGGTAGCTTTAAGGTGATTTCCAGAAGCTCAGTTTATATATATCCTCATTCCTAAAATTGCTCTGCCTAATCACCTAGGATCACGTGGGCTTGCCTTTCCCACATTTATTTTTGCAATCACCCTTCTTTCGTATTATAAAAGAAAGGCTCACTTCTCACTCATCCTAACCTGACCAAGGTGTACCACCCCAAAATGTAAAACCTCCTGCCAAGCACAGGGGCATTCCCAATGTTGGCGTTCGGTGCTGAAACAGTGACTGACTTTCATGCCTGGGGAATGCATCCTTTCATAGTTGGGCGCGATCTTTGCGATGAACTAAATTGTAGGACCTATTCAAGTTTCTAAGCCGTAAAATAAAAATAAAGATCAATCATTGATCTAGCATTATATAACTCAGAAACATTACTGTTCTACCAATAATCCTTCTCCCATGTAAAAAATGTGAACAAGCATTTTCAGTGCTTACATGTGTAACAAGATTCTTTAAGGGCAAGTTGAGCACAAACAGCTGATGACCACCAGCAGAGACTGTAGGAGAAGCCAGACCATAATAGGGGAATGAGAAGGAGGTGCTGCTAAGTTTGTTTTTGGACACTCTGATAATCCCATGCTGTTGTATATAGCGATTTGGGTCCTTGAGGCTGCCAGGAAAAACTGAAACAATTTGAACTGGGAGGAAGACGGTAAGTGGATATCCTGGGGTTAAAAAAAAAAAGATTACTGGGTGTCCAATGTGGCTTTGACATTAGAGTTACCTTCCACCTTCACCATCTTTCAGCTACTTTAACACTCTAAATTTTTTACATGGTTCTTGGTGTGTGTGTGTGTGTGTGTGTGTGTGTGTGTGTGTGTGTGTTTCTTAGAATTTTCCTTGAACTAATATAACATCTTTTTAGTTTGTTCATTAGTTAATGAGGTAAATACATTTCTTTGGCAGTCATTAATTTTATATTTATATGACAGTCATTACTGGACTTTAAAAAAATCCATTAGTGGCCTGACATCTAGGGTGCAGATAAAGATTGGGAGATATTGGGGTACCAGTGGTAGCTGAAGACAGGGACTAGATGAAATGATACAATAAGAGTGCATCTATGAGATAAGAAAGAGGATACCCCGGTAAGCACAGAAGACCCCGAGAACTCCAACACGTCAGAGGACCCCCAGGAGAACAGAGACATTGGGAAGGCTTGTCTAAAGATTAGGGAGAAAGTGGCTTTCTGAAATCAGGGTCAGATCAAGTGTCCAGGGCCTGATGCATGAAGGCATAAAGCAGGACAATCAAATTAAGAACTGAAAAGGATCCACGGGGTTTAGCAACAAGATCCCTAGTGTCTTTTGCAAAGACAGTTTCAACTGAGTGACTTCCGTGCAACATGTTGCAATGAACTAAGGAATGAAAATAAGGTAAAGACACAGAAACCAGAGTGCAGATGATTTTAAGAAGCTTAATTGTTACGACAAATAGATCCTGAGTAAAGGGATACATCTGAGGGGGGATGTGTTTCAAGATGGAAAGACTGGTAAAAAATGATGGGAAAGCCAACAGAAGGAGGAAAGTTGGCAATTCAGGAAAAAGAAGTGAATGGACACAAGGAACGTCCCTGATGCCATAGATGGGGACAGGTGGCAGTCTGGAAAGTGTTTGTAATTGGTCCGCACCAAGATAAATACAGAAATTGAGAGTAAGCATTTAGAAAATTTTATAGCAGCTCAAGAGAATAATTGTATGCCTGCGGATTACAATAATAGTTCTTAAAAATTGTGGTTTGTATTTTGCATGTCTCTGATTTCCCCCCCCCCAATAACTTCTTCTTATTGTATTTTATAAAAGTATCAGTCACAAAAGATTAAAATTAAAAAAATATAAACCTTGGCCCTTAACCACAGATAGTGTGAGACAGTTTAGAAAAGTGAAGTTTACAGAGGAGGAAAATATCTATTCCACTGCAACAGGAGGGGAAGAGGAAAGGATTGGGCTTGCTGACATAAATTACTTGCAGGGGGTATTATTCTGTGGATGGCAGTATATTACCTTATCCTGAGGAAATAATATAAATATTGTTCAGCACAGCACTTTTAAAATAGTAGGACTTTTCAATATCTAAGTGACCATAAAAAGAAATGAGTGAAATAAATGTTATGCGTATGTATATGAAACATCATTAGAAATGTGTACTCATTGACTTGAAAAATTTACAGAGTATGTTAGCTTAAAAAACAAAGAAACAAACTAGCACATATAAATTATTCAATACACTTAAAATTGGTGTCTGTGTTCCCTAGACTCATGGGAAAGTGTTTGCCACAATACCAAATGAGTTATCTCTGCATGACATAAGACTTTCTGTGTTATTACTTTTGTTTTATTTTTTAAAATAAATTGTATATATAGTCTACAACAATTACATATAATTTTATAATCAGGGGTAAAGACAATAAAACTGTTTTCATTTTGGAGTACAATGGGTGCTACAAAGAAAATGTAGACTGGTTATAGAATTTTCACCACATAGAGAGCAATCGCTTCCAGAAGCCAGTCTTAAAACTATGTTCACAAAACAGCACAGCTTCTCCACATCAGAAGCATTATTCTCTCCTCAACTCCTACTACTCCATGTCCTCTCTGATGCCTGATAAAAAGCTGACTCTTCACTCACTCGTTTTTTAGGTGAGTAAAATATGGCTCTCTCAAGCTGACTGTGTTGATGCGGTAGTTATTCTGTCAGAAATCCTATGCCTCCGATCCAAAGGGGCCATATCACAAAATCATCTGCTAGAGAAGAAGTTCCTAAAGACTGCGATCCACGGGGGATGTTGTAGATCTGAGGTGTTACATTGATATTCAGGTCTTGGAATTGTTTGCCCACTTATGTGTCTAGGTCCTTCTAGAAAGATCTGAAAAAAGTCTGAATTGCTCAAAATATTAAAAATAAGTGATTATAAGAGAGAAACAAAAGTAGGGAGGAAAAAGCTATCTGTCCATCTGTACATCCACTGATGTTAAATAATTTAGGGCACTAAAATGCATTGCCCTATAGAAAAATTTATAAGAGTACTTGGCAGCAGATTTTTTTAAAATATATTTTTATTGATTTTTTTACAGAGAGGAAGGGAGAGAGATAGAGAGTTAGAAACATTGAGAGAGAAAGAAACATCGATCAGCTTTGGCAGCAGATTTTTAAAGAATTTGGAGGGCAGTGGTTCCAAATGGCTGTAGGAAGGAGTGGAGAGAATGCCCAGGGCGCCAATCTGTTCTTACTGGGTGTGTAGGCATTCCAATAGATACCGAATACAAAATAATCACCATGCAGTGTGTGTCAACTGGGTTAGTACAGTGGGGAGAATTTTAATAATAAAAACACTTACCAATTATATGATACTTGACAGCTCCATTATTGCCAGTATCCATATCGAAGGCCAAAACAGTGTAGACAACCCCTGGCTCTTGGTTTTCCAGAACCTCAATGTCATGGGCGGGGACAATGATCTTCGGAGCATGGTCATTTTCATCTTCCACAGTACAGAGAACGGTGGTGGTGCCGGACAAGGAAGGGACTCCTCCATCTCGAACAAGGACTGACAAGGAATAAAAAATGGCACAGAGTGTGGCCACGGATTCATAGCTAAAATGCACTGCGCTAACTAGACAGCATCAGACCAAACTGACAGGTAGCCCTGGCTCAATTATGTTTTCTTTAAAGACACCCTACTGAAATGTAAATTTCAGCACTGAACTTTCTCCTGCCCATTTTTGTTTGTTTGTTCAGCAGAGTCAAGGGATCCCTTACCTCGGAGGGTGAGGACTTCCTGAACTTCTCTGTCAAGTGTGGTGGCTGTCACCACCTCGCCAGTGTCAGCATTTATCTCAAACAGCCCAGACGATGCACCCAGCATGATTTCAAACTGAAGCTTGGAATTGATTCCTTAAGGGAAAAAAAAAATTAGTGATTATCCCTTTGGAATCCATTCTTCTGTTTTCCCATTCTTTTTCCTATGAACGTGTTAGGTGATGGATGAAAAGGGCAAAGTGCTTAAACAACCTTCAAATTAAGGTCAAAACACACACACACACACACACACACACACATCAAAACAACTCTGTTGCCTATCCTTGCTAAATAAAAGCCTCGTTACCTGAAATGCTTGATTTTCAAGTCATGAGACTTACTCAGAGTAAATGCTTACTATCTTTTCCCTCCCATAAAAATTTCTTGTGAGTATGCAACTCTACAACATATTTCTAATTATCCCTTCTAATACCCCTTATGACTTAATGACATAATTGTAGGCTTGCAGGGACAGTTTCCGTAGATTGATATAGGGAAGCATGGGATTTGGTTGGAAAGTCTGTAAGGAGGAATCTCCAAAAGGTTGGGGGCCTCTAAGAGGGACCTTGCTGAAGGCAGCAGCGCCTACCTTGACTTTTCCAAACAAGTCCGATCCCTCTGGGTGTTTTATTAGAATCTCTATGTTTAGTCTTTAAGACCGACCTAGTAGAAGCATGTGTTTTCTCAAGGATGCTTACCTTGCTGATTGTGTCTAGAGGTTAATTTTAGTTCAAGCTGTTGTGACAGTAAAAGCCTAAGGAGGCAGGCGAACAGGGCTCTTTGCTCCTAAAGCAAAGCAGCCCCTTAGCCTCGCTTTCACAGAAACATGTGTCAGAGTAATCTGTTCATCCGTGCTGGTCAGCCCCGGAAGACTGACCCTATTTCAAAGTTTGCACTGTTATGCCACCCTTCACTCTCCAGCGCAGAAGGCAAGCTCATAGAGTTGCTTCTCTGCATTTATTTTGTTTTGTTTTCTAGTTAGTATTCCATCTCCTCTCTGGAGTGAGAAATGCAGTGCTGCATTATTCAATATTATGAAAAGAATTCTTCCAATATTTTTGTGGTTTCATTTCTCCCCCGAGAAAAACATCAGGCCATTCCCATCACTGGTTGTGAAGAGCGTTCATACCATTAATGTGAACAGGTTAATCCCATGACATTGTAGCTTAGTTGCACTTTACACAAGTTCCTTTCAATCATTTTTCTATGTTCTTTTATTAACCGACAAGAATCTATGCATAGATATAGTACTTAGAATATCTGATATATACTTTAATAAAAGATGAAATACCATTCTTTGACCTTAATAAAAAAAAAACAACTTCAATTACAAATTTTCATATTGCCAGTCTTAAAATGTAAGTTTCACTCTGATCTAGTGACTGTGATATAGGACTGAGTGCTGCAAGGAGTGGAATAGAATGCTAGCTTTATAAAAGAATAAATATATGTATGTCCCTTAAAGAGGAAAGATATTTGAGATAATCTATAGGCATTTAAAAGACTTTTTTAAAGTTTAATAAAATAGGTTTAATATATTTGATATGCTATAGCCAGAGTCACCAAAATATTTCACTCTATCATTAGGCACTAAGCATTAGGCATAACATTACATTAATAATTATTTAATATCATAGTGGTTACTTTGATTTCATAATGATCACCTAATCTCCTCTCTAGCTAAGAAAGAATTTCTAAAAATTCCAGGTTGTTAAAAGTTTGTTATTCCTGTTTATCACTTCCGATATTATGAAAATGGGAACAATACCATATTACATTTATTTTGCTTGCTCCTCAAATATTTAGTGAGCAAAATTAGGTGACAACATGGTGCTAACTGGCCAAGGAGACAGTGGCAAGTCAAACAGGTATGGCATCTGCCTTCATGGAGCTGACATGGTTTCAGAAAGGCACCTTTTACTTTTTGGACTTTTTATTTTTGAATAAATTTACTCACTTGCTATATGATTTTACTATACATTACCCATATTATTATATATTACATACTAAAGACTTTAAATTTCCAACACTTGTCAAACCTCTAAGTATCTTTAAAGGTTTAAACATAATTCTTTATATTTTCCCTTTCTTCCATTGTTCCCATTGTTCTTTAATATGCTTTGTTTGCCACGGAACCAATATTTTCCTGACTTTTCAGAAACTTTCTGATTTTATTATTTCTATTATTTTATATGGCTTTAACCCATTCACCTGAAATCCACCTGGTGCATTACTAAAGGTAAATAAGATCTTTATTTATAACTATAGTTGCATACATACATTTTTCACTCCAAATTTCACACCCTCACAACTTAAATAGTGTGAGATAAATTTAAAGTATTCTATTTTGGCTCTTTTAGAGCTCAGTTTCTTGCTTCTTCCTACACACACCCTTATAACCCACCAGAACAAAGAGACCATCACCAAACTTGAAAATTAAGAAAAGAAAAGAAACAGATCATTCAGTCAAAACCATTACCTTACTAACAATTTGATC